GCCACATTGGTGTTGGTGGTGAGAGGAGTGAAGTAGTTCACCCAGCAGTTTCACACAAAACTAAATGGCGCTACAATGAACTGCAGCTTCTTTACTTGCAAAATTACCTTCTAAGTTCACAAACGCGCAATTCATGGCACTATTCAAACAGGATTTTTTTTCCAAAATAAGGTCCTATAGGGACACCAGAAGGGGAGGGAGGGACTTCACTTCTCTGTTATCTTCCATGACTTCCTCAGAAGTTGGAAGAATAAAGAGCGAAATAGCATCACAGCTCAACAAGTGCTCCTCAGCTACTGTTGTATGATACTGTAAAAACAGCTAGTGCCTGCTTAAGTGTAATTAGTGCCTGTAAGTCAATTCTCTATCGGTGTATCATGTATTTATTACTGTAATATTGTTCTTTATATTGTACAATGTGATAATGTCTGTCCTTGGCCTTGAAAATAAACCCTAGATAATGTAAAACATGTCATTGTATTTTTTTAAACTTCAGTTATTTACCCTTATCTCTCAATTGTTTTTGACTTTGCCCTTTAAACATACAGCATGTCATTTCTGCTGCCAGCAGTCTCAATCAAAACAACTACATGATGATGTCATTAGGTAGTGCAGGATCACGGGAGTTGTTGTCATTATTGGTAAACAGCTGCTGTTGCCCATGAAAATCTATCTGACATGACTCAGGCAGAAGTCACGTTCACAGACATTAACATTATGTCATTTCATTCTAATGAAATAGCTGCAAGCAATGCTAACTAACAACATTACTTGATCACTTAGCATTAGCATTTAATGAGTCAATGACTCATACAGCTATTGTAGCTAACGTTAGGTGGCGAATTCAGTCACAGGGTAGCCCAGTGCTGTCATCCATGATCAAAACAATCATACTAAACATAAGTAATAATTGCTATGTTACCATACGCATTAGCTTGGTAGCGGGCACAAGCCACTGTCATAGCAGCACAGCATAAGCTTGGTCCTTCCTCACTCCCTGATGTATCATCTGGTGTTTCCCTTGTTTCCTCTGAGGTTATAGCAGCGAGAGGGGGTAAAGGTGATATAAAAACCAAATGAAATGCACTATTACCTGGATTAAAATTCCATATTTCTCTGGGTTTAAGAGTGTCGTAAACATTTGGGATAATGCAAGTACACAACTCAACAAAATGGGGATTTACTGAAAGCTGAAAGTCCTAATACAGTATGATTTTTTTTTCCATTACCACTGCAGATGAACTGTAACCATACCATATTTTTGTTGCTGCGGTTGTCCAAAGGCCTTTTCTCTTGCAGCACATTTTGGATTTTGACCCCGTCTGGTTTAGAAATGCTGACTCGACAAAGAAGCTGAATGACTGTCTCGTCTGCTGCTTAATTTGAAACGCGGCCAACAACACATCTGTTCTCTGAGTGCGTCAGGTGATACTTACAGTACCAGTGTCACACTTGACAGATAAGTCATCTAGTGTGTCTGACTTATCATTTGTGTCTGCCTCTGCATGTTCCACCAACATCCCTCATGTTTTAGGCTTTTGTGATTTCACCACATTAAAATTGTAAGTCCAACTACAGCACCAAAACTCTAACTTGTCCCCGCTTGACGGTGACCATGGCAACCTGAAAGATTACCCACATAGGCGGGGATTCTCTGACCTCAAACACAGCTGAGGTGTTTACAGGCCTGTTTGATTGACAGCTGCTACACCCTCTCTGTGGTGAAGTTGCCTGCTGGGTGACTATATATGGAGTGTTATACAGGTGTGAGTCTACCTCACCTCCACACACACACACACACACACACACACACACAGGACTTGTGAGATAGAGGCACACTGGGTGGTGAGTAAGAGTAGCTGAGGTCATAGAGCCAGAGGCACACTATCTTTTGATCTACAATGAAACACACACACACACACACACACACACACACCTGTAGACTAGACTACTTGTGACACTAGAAAGTTGTTTCATTACCGCTACCTTTACACTATCATCATCTATACTGTCATGCTTTCACCCTTAAATAACACTTACCTCACTCCACTTAATGTCTGTGTGTGTGTATGTGTGTGTTTTCCTGATATTGGCGTGTTCTCGCACTTGCACGCTATGCATGTGTGTACATGTACAAGGTGTGTGAGCACTATACATCCTTGAGCTGACTTAAGAAGACCATGTGGGCAATTACTCAACACCCACATAGCTGAGCAGCACCCACTCCCTGTCCCACCTAGACACAGTGTTTACCATTCAAACAGTAAGATAACATTCAGTGACCCATGGTAATTCATTTTATCTATTTACTTGCATATTTTCCATGAGGGGATACCAGCTTATCAGTAAAGAGCAGTATTTTAGGCACATTAGTAGATATGAAGAGGAGACAATTGACTTTATTACAGAGGCAGCCATTTTGAATTTGGATAACACTATGCCTCAAACCAAAACACCTTTTTAATCTCATAAATGCAATCTATTTTTTTTTTCATTCAATTATGATTAATTATTGATAGTGTAAAAGAAAGGATTTATTCATGAGGGATATGTGTAATTGTAATCAGTTACCGAGAAGAGATACGCAATTCAATTACAATTACTAGTCAAAATGTTGATGATTACAAAAGGGATACATCCAAATATATTCTTTTGAGTATATGTGAAATACAACATTCACTCTGCTGCTTTGCATTTGTTCACTGTGAAGGAATGCCATCTTTAGATTACTTTGATGTACTTGAAATAGTGGCATTACTTATTACATTTTTAACAAGGCAACAAAAAGTCTGTAACCCATAACATTTCAAACATAACTTTCCCAACACTGGATACAATTGCAGGATTTTTCATGACACTGATGGATGGTTTGCAGAGCTATTAATGTGTAATTAATGAGAAAGTCCCTTGAGGCAAATTTGTCATTTGAGATATTGGGCTATCTAAATAAAATTAAAACAAATGAACTATCAATTTTACAATTAAAGCTACTCCGTTTTGTGTTGTTAAGTCAGATTAAAGTTGGATTTACTGCATTAAAATTATTCACTTTTATGCACTTTAATTTCAAACATCATAAACCAATTGATATGCCTTTAAACTTAGATTATTTTTTTTATCAAGATTACGATAATTTAATTCTAGCTAGACCACTATATCATTTCATTCATTTCTGTAGTCGCTTATCCTCTTGAGGGTCATGGGTGGGCTGTAGCCTGTCCCAGCTGACATTGAGCAAGAGGCGGGGTACACCCTGGACAGGTCGCCAGACTATCACATGGCTGACACATAGAAACAGACAACCATTCATGCTCACATTCACAACCACGGACAATTTAGAATCACCAATTAACCTGCATTTCTTTAGACTGTGGGAGGAAGCTGGAGTACCAGAAGAAAACCCATGCCAACACAGGGAGAACATGCAAAGTCCACACGGAGGGGTTCCCCACTGGTATGAACCAGGAACTCTCTTGCTGTGAGGCAACAATGCTAACCACCTTGCCACCACCACTATATCAGTGAGCTTATATTATCAGCCAATGGGGTTATCACAAATATATCAATAAGTTGGCTAGAGACAAATTTATACCAGTTTTAAGAGGCTAGTGTTGATATTTGGAGGTTAAAAAAACATAAACAAAAAAACAAACAAACTTAAATATCTACTTTAATGTAGATATATGAGTATTTTTAGGAAGGATCCCTTAAGTTATTTTTTAAAAGTATTGTGCCCAAGTTATGTAGCCTAGTGCGTGAGACATTTTACAGTTCAAACACATGACTAAGTCTGTGGCCATGCTAGGAACACCGAGACTACATTATCATGCTTTGAGCTAAATGCTAACATGCTCACATTGACAATGCTAACATGCTAATGCTAGTCAGGTATAATGTTTACCATGTTCACCAGCTTAGTCGTAGCATGTATGCATGCTAACATTTCCTATTTGGGACTGTGCTACAGACTGTACACAGTTGACTATGTCAATTAGCTAGCTTGGCAAATTAGCTTACCAGCCAACATGATCCACGATACTAACTTATGACAAAATGTATTTATTTAGCCAACAATTGTACAGTTCTGTATCAACTATAAATGATACAGAATGGTAAAAGTGCTTTTTACTAGCCAAGAGTGATATGGGGCATTAAATATAAAGAAGGAACAGCTGAGGCTGATGGGAACTCTGTTAGTTTTTCAGGTATTTGAAAGATATGCAGTAAGGTTATATCAGGTGATATACTGGCTCAGCGGATTTTTGTCAGGCTAATGTCTTTTTTAAAAATGTGTAAATTTAAGGGAAAACATTTTGGCAGATCTTTTTATGAAAATTGTATTACATAATAAAATAAGCAGATATTGTTTCTATTAATAACTTCCTTAAGGTGCCTTGACATGAATTAAAGAGAAATTGATGAATAGACTGTGTTTCATACAGATACAGGTGGAAGTGCCACCTGTAGGACTTTAGGTACAGTTATACTGTCACGTGTGTATGCCTAACACATTAATGGATTTCCACGTTATGGACTGTAGAAGATGGACTGTATGTTGAAGGTGCTTGAATGCTCAGTCTTTGAGGTTAAAGCTGAAGTGAGTGTCACATCTCTGCTCAGCAGGTTTATCTGTGACAGCTGAGGACACTCATGATTAATGATTGACATCCACTGATATCAGAGTAGGATGTTTGCCTCGGGTGCTGGGACCTTTTGTGAGCTGAAACACTTGGTCTGTTTTAGCCTTTATTAGTGTGTGACTGCGTAGGCACGTGTAACTTAAGTTCTGATATGTCCTCTGAGTCAGTGTGTGTTTAAGCATGTAAAGAAGAGGTGTGTATGTGTGGTTAAGAAGAGCGACTCAGAGGAAGAGAACGAAAGACGGACAAAGAGTCCTTGAGAGTGAGAGTGCTCCGCTGCCTGTGTGTGTGCCATTTTTTTGAATGTGTGTATTTGCTCTGGTGACGACAGAGCTGCAGGTTGGGGCAGGGTGGGCGTGTGTGTGACGCTGTGTGTGAGGGCAGTATCCTGAGCTCCAGACTCTCAGTCATTCACTCAGACTCACACACACACAGGAGGAGGTATTGCTCACTGGTGCTCAGACACACACAGAGGAAGAGGAGGCAACAGCGAGAGACAAGGTAAGACCTGCAACTCTGTCTTATTTAATAATTTTGTTATTGCTACACTGTCATTCTTTTAACATTAAATATGTTTCTACAAGTTTATGTAAGAAAACAAGTCATAGCTCTCTTGTTTCTTTTCACAATGAAAAGAGGGATGTTAAATTCATTATTCAGAACTGTTTGTTTGATTTTCTCATATTGTGTCTTTCAATTTTTGACATCTTTTTGTCATTCTGCTTTCCTTCTCATATTCACCCTCCATTTTCTTCCTTTGTGATTTTGAACAGATTATGTGACATATTACATTACCTACAACTAGAATATCTGTACCCTGCAAAGCACACATTTACACAAAGGTCACTGCACAGGACATAGTATTTGCTCTCCTGCCCAGGACTAGATGACAAAACTCATACTGCTCTCGTGTCTGTACTGTAAATGTGAAGGTCCAGCCAGCAGCCGGTTAGCTTAGCTTAGCATAAAGACTGAAAACAGGGGGACACAGCTAGCCTGGAGGATGGCAGTAAGTCACTGCTCCTTCAAAATCACAACCTGCTTTTTGAATGAAGATATGAATGAGATATAATTAGTTTGTTGTAGAAGCTCTGGCAGGCAAATATTCAGGCAGAAGCTAATAGGCTGGTTCATTTTTAAGCTGCCATGCCAAGTTTTTGCAAAGAAAAAAAAAAAGTTAAAGAGAAGAGGGTAAAACACATTAGCATAAGGGAAAACTATACACTATAAATATGTTTCTCTTTAATTTGCTTGTAGTCAAATGTAGATTGATGCAGGAAATATCAAGTGTACTCCAACAGAATGGTATTTGTGCAGACTTCATTTTTGCAAGGCTATATTGTAAAAGATTTTATCACCACTGAATCCAGCTTTTTTCCAAGTCTGGTGACGGCCTGATCAATATCACAGTAGCTGTTTTATCCTTGGTGGCTGATGGAAAAATAACCTGCTCTGACAATGAAAATACTCTCTTATATTTGTCAAAACTGGTGAATCTGATCCTATATACCCTTTATACAGTACTGACATTGAGCTAATAGTTATGCCGACTTTGGCATGGAGAGGTAGTCCGTATGAGGTCATTGATTTTGGCAGCTGTACAGCATCCAACTGGTTAAATTAGTGTCAAAGTCTGCGTCTGTGTGTGTGCATGTGTGTTTGTCTTGGGTTGTAAGTACATTGTGTCTTTAGCTTTGGCATCCAGTTATCATCACAACCCTGATAACGCTGACCTGCGTGTGCACACTCACTCACTCACACACACACACACACACGCACACTCATGTAGAAGCAGAACTACTGGTGCAAAACTCTGAAACTGACAAGTCTGTTATTTTGTTCCATAAACATCTTGTGATGGATTGCTCGGCAGATACTATAAGTAGTTCAGTGCATACCATTCACAGCAGCATTTACACAGATAAAACATGTCACACAAACCCATGACTCTGACATTATCTTCCATCTATGGTCTCATTTCATGGCATTTTCTTTCCACTCTACTTACCCTTTTTTTTCCATCTATAACCTCTCCTGAACTTTGGCTCATATGAAATTCTCTAGGGGCTACTTTGTAATGTTTAAGGATATGTTTATGTTCTTTTAAGAAGGTGATCCAAAGAGTGAGGGTGAGGATCATGTAACGACATTAATCTCTAATCTCTCTTGCCCCTATCTTTCAGAGGTGATTAAAAAAAAGGAGCTGCAAAGCACTAAAACAAAAGAGTGAAAGAAAAACAAGAAAAGATGACAATTGGCAAGAACTCCAGGAAAAGCTCTGTGCGGAGCTCCATCCGGGCCCCAAAGTTCCTGGACAAATCTAATGGCTTCTACGGTCGCCTTGATGAGCCTGAGACTGCCGGAGAAGGGGAGGAGGTGATGGGAAAAGAAGTGGAGGAGAGGTGGAGTGGTACGGAAGAAAGCAACACACAGGGCAGCAACCAGAGCTCAAGTGTGATGCAAAACTCTGGGTCACACGAGAGGGAAGAGGCCGCCGTGTTCGACTTCAACGAAGGAATGATGGAAGACGACGGGGAGACTCTCCTCCAGAGGAAGTCCAGCCGCCGCAGCAGCAGGTGGAGAAGAAGCTCCAGGAGGAAGCAGAAGGAGGGGAAAACCGATGGGGAAGCAGTCCGGGATGAGAGGCCAAGCCTGGGCACAGAGAGTCCAGCTGACCCAGACGTCCTGGAGGACACCAGGGTGATTATTGAGGTAGAGATGGAGAAAGCAAAGAAGGTGGAGGAAGAGAAGGCAGGAAGGGGGAAGGAGTCGACACTTGTGCACTTCCCGGTTCGGGAGGATGCGGACGACCAGGTCCTGATCAGAGAGAAGAAGAGGGGGAGAGAAGAGGAGGGGGAAGAGGAGAAGAGGATGAAGAGGGAGCAAGAGGAGGGGATGAAAATGGTGAAGAGGAACACAGTGAAAAATTACCGCAAGGTGAGAGACAAAGAGCCTTAGTTGGTTTCTATTGATTTATTATTAACATATTTCAACAAACTTAAATGAACTTTTGCTTTCTGTATCTTATATTTACGTAAATCTGAACATTGAGCTTCACCCCGTCTGGTTAAACTTTAAGCCCCTCGATATTACATAACCGAGTCCTCAGACTTCGTGGAACAAAGGGGTAAAGTTCTCCTTCAACATCATCCACATACTGCACAGTGGGCTATTAATCACCATGGAAACTATCACCTTAATAACAGACTGCCAGCGGGGTCAAGGTACAGCAGCCATTGGTGCATGTCACCAACTCATTAGGTTACTTCCTTTGATGGGATATTTTTCCTTTGCGTCATATTTAATGACATGAGAAAATGAAGCTGGAACAGAGGTTTCACTAAAAAGGCTTTTAGCTGTACAAGTAGAGTGGCGCTACCATCAATGGACTGCGTGTACCCTCACCTGATTCACAAGTTCCCACCGATTTCTTGCTTCCTTTGAAACACATGCACAGAGGTGACATTTCTGAGCCTCCTATATTGTCTTTGATCAGCGGAACGAAGTATGGCAGTGCTGACCCGCCTACTAGGCTCACACCATAAAAACATTCCACTGCTGTTAACCAATCAGCTCCGCCCGCAGACCTCACAGTCTGACCTCGGAGTTTGTGTCTCCACAATATTAGTTTTATGTATAAGAGTGAGTGTGCACAGAATAACTCCATGACATACTGAAAATGAGCATCCTGTCGCTGCTCAGTGTCTGTAAGTTCTAGCTTAATATTCCTGAGTAACATAAAATCACCAGTAACCATAGCAACAGGTTTAGAGCTTTTTTATTGTTTTTGCTCTCTGCTTGTGATACATTGGCTCATTACGGGGCCGGGCAGGTTCTCATTCTGTTTCTGGTTCTGTTTCTTCTTCTGATTTTGGTTCTTGTTCTTCCTCTTCTTCTTTTGGGTCTGGTTCTTCCTTTTCTCCTGGTTCGTCTTCTTCTGGTTCTTCTTCTACCTCTTTTGGTTCTGGTTCCTCCTCTTCTCCTTCTTTCTCTGGTTCTGGTTGTGGTTCTTCTTTTGTTTCTGGGTCTTGTTCTTCCTCTTCTTCTTCTTGTGGGTCTGGTTCTTCCTTTTCTTCTGGTGCGTCTTCTTGTGGTTCTTCTTTCTCTTTTGGTTCTAGTTCCTTCTCCTCTTCTTCTTCCTCTGGTTCTTCTTCCTCTGTTTCTTTTCCGTCTGGTTCTGCTTCTGGTTTTGCCTCTCCCTCTTTGTCTTCTTCTGGTATTGGTTTTTCTTCTCCTTCTGGTCCTGGTTTTATTCTTCTTCTTGTTCTTCTTCTTCTTCTTCTTCTTTCTACCATGAAATCTACCTTCCCATGCATGTAAATAAACGAAACATTGCACATAGGTCCTATAAGTCCTATACCAACGTTTCTCAAACAAAATTTTGGGCTGATCGTTCTGATGATGGCACTACAAAAACCATCACATTTTCAGGTCCCTACATGTTTCAGTGGTCAACACTGTATTTTAAAGGAAGTTCCTTGCAACAACTGCATAGTTTTGCATCACCCACAGAGACAAGAGAGACATTTGTATACTTCTGCTTATTTCCAGTGAACTGCCAGTGTAAACTGAAGAGCCTTTTAGTCAGTACACAGCAGGTCAGCTGAACATGCAAAAATGTGACCTTCCTCTACAAGGAAGCAAACCATTCAATATAAATACATAAATGGAAATGAAAGTTTCCATTAATAAATAAATATTAATGAATAGCTAGGTGGTTTTAAACAGATACGTTTGTTCAAGGAAATCTACAACTGCTTAAAAATTCAGCACAAGTAAGAATATTCTAACAAAAAAAGTCTCTGAACTGATTCCCTATTTTCCCTTTAATTAGTACTAAACTGTGAAATTGTTTCCACAAACCTTTTAAGGAAATTAGTGGATTTTTTATATAAAAATACAGACCCATCGAATAAAAGTTTACAGAAAAATGAAAGGCTTAAACTGTCAAGAGGAACGATTACAAATCTCAGCAGTTTTGGCCACACTAGCCATATATTGACCATATATGTGCTCTTTTTCCTATCAGGCCTTGGACCGAGCTTTTCGTCGCGGCTGGGAGGCCTTCATCACCAACCTCTACAGCGTCACGCTCACACCTGTGACATCATCCTCACCAACATCTTCTTCACCTTTGTCGAAGAAGAAACAGCAGAACAACTCTGTGCTAGCCGAGTGTTGGTAGAACTGGAGAGTGACATGGACAATAAAACGACCCCCTCTCTAATATTTAGTTTTTTCAAATCATGATTATGCACTGTGTTGTGACGGACGGTCCTGCCTTCACTAGGGACTGTTATAGTCACATGATGTGTTTGAGTCACGCAGTAGGCCTCAGAAGCATTAATTATTTATGTAGGTTACTGAGTCGTAATTACTCATCATAAAATGTACTGCCTTGTCTCATTGTGGTGCACTTTGGTTTGCACACAGACTGCAGGGTATTCAGTTTTACTTTATGTTTGGGAGAGCCAAGCTGTTTATATTACATTGAAGTCTATGGGACGGACTTGAATGGAGAAGTCCGGTCTTTATGTGACTGAGTTCAGCGGCTCCTGGTTCACCTCTACTATGTTGCTAAGTTCAGATTATGTCTTTAGCTCCTTACATTTGGTCCACTATTAGGAGCTCAGAGCACAAATAATCCGTCCTTCCTTTGGTTTAGCACTATGAAACTACCAAAGTGTTGATGTGCAGCCAAAAGGAGTGGAAATTTTCAACTGCGAACACGATGACTGATTAGTGGACTTTAGTTCTGGAGATATTCACATTTTTGTATGTTAATCAGTGCCATTTATTGCTGTTTGGTAGTTAATCAGTAATGAGAGGAGGACAAACACACAGCTAATCAGTGATTGTGATAGTGATTAACACACATTAGTATGTTAATATCTGTGGAGAGACTGCAGTTTTTTAGCAATGTTAACCTATATAAACAGGGCTTTTCCATCTGTGTGCGCACAGGAATACAGAGGTGCACAGCTTGTCAGTGTTTGACTTCCTCACTGTGTGTTCTGGTGAAGGTTATTTAACCTGAAGGGACAGGGCAGGGGAGTGTACAACAGTGTTAAACAGAAAGGAGAAAGAGAAACAGATATTTTTTATAGCCTGGTCATAAATCAGCACTAAACACAGTAATAAGACTCTTCGCCATTGCAGCTGTACATTATGTTTATTAAACACATTTTAGTGATCCAGGAAATTTTTCAATGTATGAATGACAGACCCTCGCTAAAATGGAAAATGCAATGTTAACACCAAGCTGTAATTGCTGTAAATGCTGTAATTTCCTGTTGTCCGCTACGTATTTGGCTTTTATTACCTCAAGTGTTCTCTTGCAGACCAGACTGAATAGGTGGGGAAACTTGTGGTTGTACATAATGAATGTCTTAATTTTTATAAAGATTCTTTTGTATCCTAATCAAAGCTTCTGAAGTCATGAACCGTAACAAGAAGCACTTTTCTGAGTAAATAAAGACTTAATTTATTGACCTGGTCGTGTTTTTGTGTTTCAGGATGAATACGGTATAAATAAATCAGCCTTGATTTGAATACACTAACGTCAGCGTCATTGTTATAAGGTTAAATCAGACTGAATTAGATGTTAAAGGCAGCATCACATCGTGTCCTAGCAGTTGTTGCTATGACACTACAAGCAGTCAATAAGTGAGCTATGAAAACACTTAAATCAAGATGAAGATATAGCTTTAACCTGCTGACTTTTGATGTAGTGTCTAAGTTTAAATATAGGTATCTAATCTAAAATAAAACTATATTTCTATGGGACCAGTCCTAAGGGAACATTTTCATTGTATGACAGACATGTTTTACCTTGCCTTTATAGTAGGCTACAAGTACTGCTGGAGCACAGGTGCTTCAAAACTGCTTCCCATCTCAATACACCTTAAAGGTAGTTGAAGTTGTGCCAGACATCCTTACTCTCTGTCTACAATGAAAACCAACAAAAACATAAAGATATAAATAACATGAAAACTTAAAGACAGCATGCACAGAGGTGTTTGCAAAGATCTGAGTCTGAATTAAAATAAAATGCATATGCAAAACAATACAATACATACAGTACTAGGTAGCAGGTGTGCACCATCAGGAGAGGCAAACCAGGCAAACATGTGGACCCTCCTCAACAAAAATTTGTGAAAAGGGGCCTTCGATGGCCACACATATTGGCACATTTTGCAATGACTATAACTATAAACCCACTTGAACCTCACATAAAGGCATTATATGGTGTACCACTGGTGCCTCAAAGCCCCTCTAAAGGTTTGGACATACTTTCGGCATGCAACATCTGCTGATAGCTACTGTCACGCAGACGCGCATGCAGTTCTGTTCATTGGACAATCAACGGTCTGTGTCAGCCCCCGGCAGTAAACTGGAGGACTGTGAACTTACCATCCTACTACTCAACTCAACTCAACTCAACTCAGCTACTACGAAGCTGCTGTTGGGTCAGGAGTGACTGTCTGTCAAATATCCAACTTCAAACATACTTTGCTGCAGTGCAGCAGCTGCAGCTGGCTTGACCACAGTGTTTTGGACTGGACCAAAGTGCCGAACAAGAGATTGGAGCATGCACGGTCAGCACGCTTGCTATGCACACAGTCCACACAGTTACAAAAAATTGGGGTCAGAGCAGATCGTTGTTGACATGGGTGGATGATGAGAATTACGCCACAGCGAACTCTCACGGACACATGAATGCTGAAACTGTGAAGTGGGGCCTTTTCTATCTACCCTGCACGTGTGTGTGTGTGTGTGTGTGTGAATGGTGTTGTTATTTTTTAATAAATAAATAATTATGACATTTGATCAAGCACAATTGACCATGCGTTTTATTTGAGTGTGGGGCCTTGATGGGCTTCTTTGCCTTTGGCCCGCCCCCCAGAGTCTAGGATCACCACTGCCAGGTAGCAGTGAAATGATCTAAAGTGACTATGTGTGTATATTTATTTGTGTTTATCCTACAAATATATATAGGTATATCTTTGCTCAGTTTTTGCTCTGTATTTTTTAAATGGTACAGAGAACAAGAAGCTTAATGACAGGTGATAAAATGTTTTTTTTTTTTTTTTTTACAACAGAAACATAAGTAAAACTAAAAAAAGGAAACATAGTTAATATTCTTGATAATATTATTTTAATAATAATAATTGAAAAAACTATAACTATATTATTATATATATTATTATATTATTATTGCATACATTATATAACTTTAAATCTTTGTAAGGTAGCAGTCTGCTGGTCTATTTGCCGGTGCGGTGTCTTTGCTGCCACCGTGTAGATATTAAGAATATTACTTTTTATTAACGGAAATGACGTAGTAAAATGAACTCTGCGCACTTACTTTAAATTCGTCCCCGTGTGTAAATTAAACACCTCTCTCCACAGACGTTGAGATTATCGTATATAAAACATTTTGTTCTGTCGAGTTTAATTTGTCCGTAGCTAAATATTGATAAAGGTTTGAGTCGTTTTCCCGGTAAAAGTTTCCCGGGTGGGAGGAGTCCTCCAGCCGGACATAAAGCCCAGACGGACCGGCTTCCTCGTTCACTTCCCTCTCTACTCTGTCGAAGGTAAGATCATACGCATTGCTCCTTAACACTTAATTCATTACAAACATTATTTTATTATGTTGTTAACTTTAGAAAGCTCTTGCTTTGACTATACAGTTAATATGCAATTGGGATTCACCCTTTCCAACCTATATACAAGCTAAGGTTGTGTGTTAGCTTGCAGCTTACGTGCAGCGTTTCAGTGCCGCACCGATCAGAGCGGGCCACAATCCTGAACCATCCGGCATCAAAACACATTATGTTACACTCCTGAGTATTTATAACACGAATAATAACATGTTTGCTAAATGCTGCATGTAATATTTATTGGTTAACGCAAATTTAACTCGTGGTAAACTCGTGCAGAAATGGCCGCTGCTGGTTCTGTCTGGCTGCTAAAAGTGTCTCTCAGTGATGATAATTACACAGACCTGTACTGAATGACTGTGACTGCACTTAATTATTCTGATGTGAGACACTTAAATTATATATATTTTACTGACTCATGCCGTCCTGAGCACGTTGCATGGAGCGGTCACGTGTTGGCCGGTCAGCGAAAATGCCTGCTAGCAACATGCTGCTAAAGCTATACTTTCTACCTGTTTTTTTTTAGATGAAGAAAGATCCAGAAGCTGCTTGCTGCAAAGGTAATTATTCTACTTTACGTGCCTCCTTTACACTGTTAATTTAGGCACACTACCGTATCAGATAAAAACAAATTGGCTGTTAGTGGCATAGCATGGTTTAACATGGAGTCTCATGCTACAGTGATGTTTAAATTGAACTCTCTCACTGAAATCCTTTGAGGAAGCTTTATCTCTCTATTTCTGAGTAGCATGAAACTAATCTTACTAGTGTGCATATGTCAAGTTGACTCTCAACCCATGAAATGCATTTTTCTGTTTCTAGGTGAGAGAAGAGGTTGGAACTCTCCACATAAGGTAATTTTTTTTTTTTGAACCTTTTGTGTATTTCAGACTCATCTTGGTTAATTTCAGTAGATTTGCAAAGCACGGCACTTGTTCATGAGCTCATTGCGGCTGTGATGAATCCCTGAACTCTCTCTTACCGAATCAGCCTTTGAAGAAACTTCTTTACCAGATTCTGAGTAGCAAATGAGCACCACATAATGCACTGTACAACACTAGTTGTCTGTGTACTCTATAGTCGAAATGGCATACATGGAGCCACGTGATCACTAAAGTCAATTGTTTATCAGCTATTAAGGGTCCTTGTGTTAATCAGTGGCTTACCTTTTCCCCTCAGATATTCAAGAATATTCAAAGATGAAGAACAAGAATGAAGGACTCTGGCAGGTGAGCTTAACTGAAGCTAACGGGGAAAGCTCAATCCAACAAGGGCCATAACTGATGAGTTTTAAAATAGACAAGCATATGCCTGATTATTGTGATGCTAGGTTATTTATCTGATCAGCCCTTGAAATAACAGAAGCTCAGATTTAGTCTGTTTCTGGCTAACCACTGATTGTCTTTGTAGGCTGGTCCCCATGGTCAACTCACTGAAGTCTTCAAAGCAGCTGGAAAGTGCAGAGAGGTGAGTAAAATATGTATATTTTAAAGTTTCGTCAGTCTAGGGGTATAAACATGATGATGATTACAATTGACAAGCATATGCCTGATTCCAGTGATGTCAGCCTTTATCTGATTACCCTTAGTTGAAAAGGTAGAACACATTTGATGCCTATAGGTGATTTACACACTGCTTTTTATCTCCTAGCTGGGACATGACGTTTGAGGAAGGATGCCACATGGACATCGTACATGTAAGTATTAACATGAGTGTGGGATTGAAGTAGTAGAAAAGCCTCTCCTCCTATGAAGCTGAAGTCATTTTGGTTGCAGAGAAATTAATCACCACTTTAGAGTTGATTTCCCCAACAGTAGCCCTTTTATGCAGAGATTGCGTTAAAGGGCTGCTACAAAGTCCCTGTCCATGTGCCACCCATGATCCCATCTTGTTTATACGACTGTTTCAGTGCTGTTATCACCTCCTGTGGTAGATTAAAAGCACGACCACTCTGTCCCCATACTGTGACTGTCCCTTAAACACAGAGGCAGCACAACAGTGTGATATTTCCGTCTTGGAACAGGCAGTGAAGAGGCTAACGTTTGACAGTTTGAAAGGATGAAATGGGGTAAAACCCATCAAACAGCTGGACGACTAATGTCACATGGCAGTTTGTCACCAAAGCCCTGATCAAACACTTGAATCTCAATATGTCTCATGTCATTGTTGAGTTCTACTGAAATGCCAGTTTCTTGTGCAGGGCTGTTTGCGGTGGATTCTTGAAGAGGGAGGCTCCCATTGAAGCCTCATGGTAAGGATTTTTTTTCCCCCTCATTTTAATGCATATTTCCTTTCACAATGCAGTTCCAATGATGATGATACTTAGCTCACTTTGAACCGATGTGAAACGACAAGAACAGCTGAGCAACTGCATTTACTTAAATTTTCATTCTTTTAAAAAATCCTGCAAATTGGTGTTAAGAAACAAAGTTGGGTTACTTTTGAATACTGTGTGGTGAATTAAATGTCGTCTTCCTACAGATCCATTGAGTACCTCAGCAGCATACTCGGATGTTCTGGTCAAAGGTAAGATATCGATTAACTACTTCAGAAATATGGTAGCAATAGCCCTTATTTCCAGACCTGCTGAAAATGATGAGATATATTTGGAATCTCGTTCGTCTGAACTGCTGTTGAGAAATGGAATATCTGACATCAGTGGAGGTCAATGTTTAAATAGTATAGAACTTAACCACCTTGTGCTCAGGGCTGACCGTCTCGTCTATTGCAGGTACCTGGCTTTGGAAATTGTAGAAGATGCTTCTCCAGACATGAGTGTTTGCACAGGTGAGTGAGCCCTTGCGCATTGACATCACTGTCAGTGCTGT